TGTACATGTACCTTAGTATGACTGAAACAGTGTAGTGTTAAAGGGAGACTGGATGTGTACCAGTATAAGGTCTAACCTGTACTCACAGTGTACCACATGTAGACATGTACATGTACCTTAGTATCACTGAAACAGTGTAGTGTTAAAGGGAGACTGGGTGTGTACCAGTATAATGTCTAGGCTGTACTCACAGTGTACCACATGTAGACATGTACATGTACCTTAGTATCACTGAAACAGTGTAGTTTTGAAGGGAGACTGGGTGTGTGCCAGTATAAGGTTCTAGCCTGTTCTTACAGTGTACCACATGTAGACATGTACATGTACCTTAGTATGACTAAAACAGTGTAGTGTTAAAGGGAGACTGGGTGTGTGCCAGTATAAGGTCTAGCCAGTACTCACAGTGTACCACATGTAGAAATGTACATGTACCTTAGTATGACTGAAACAGTGTAGTGTTAAAGGGAGACTGAGTGTGTGCCAGTATAAGGTTCTAGCCTGTACTTACAGTGTACCACATGTAGACATGTACATGTACCTTAGTATGACTGAAACAGTGTAGTGTTAAAGGGAGACTGGGTGTGTGCCAGTATAAGGTCTAGCCTGTACTCACAGTGTACCACATGTAGACATGTACATGTACCTTAGTATGACTGAAACAGTGTAGTGTTAAAGGGAGACTGGGTGTGTGCCAGTATAAGGTTCTAGCCTGTACTTACAGTGTACCACATGTAGACATGTACATGTACCTTAGTATCACTCAAACAGTGTAGTGTTAAAGGGGAGACTTGGTGTGTGCCAGTATAAGGTTCTAGCCTTTACTTACAGTGTACCACATGTAGACATGTACATGTACCTTAGTATCACTGAAACATTGTAGTGTTAAAGGGTGGACTGGGTGTGTGCCAGTATAAGGTTCTAGCCTGTACTCACAGTGTACCACATGTAGACATGTACATGTACCTGAGTATTTCTGAAACAGTGTAGTGTTAAAGGGAGACTTGCTGTGTGCCAGTATGAGGTTCTAACCCGTACTTACAGTGTACCACATGTAGACATGTACATGTACCTTAGTATGACTGGACCATTGTAGTGTTAAAAGGGGTACTGGGTGTGTGCCAGTATAAGGTTCTTGCCGGATCTCACAGTGTACCACATGTAGACATGTACATGTGCCTTAGTATGACTGGAAACCGTGTAGTGTTAAAGGGAGACTTGCTGTGTGCCAGTATAAGGTTCTAGCCTGTACTTACAGTGTACCACATGTAGACATGTACATGTACCTTAGTATGACTGAAACAGTATAGTGTTAAAGGGAGACTTGCTGTGTGCCAGTATAAGGTTCTAGCCTGTACTTACAGTGTACCACATGTAGACATGTACATGTACCTTAGTATCACTGAAACAGTGTAGTGTTAAAGAGAGACTGGGTGTGTGCCAGTATAAGGTTCTAGCCTGTACTCACAGTGTAGCACATGTAGACATGTACATGTACCTTAGTATGACTGAAACATTGTAGTGTTTTAAGTGTGGACTGAGTGTGTGCCAGTATAAGGTTCTAGCCTGTACTCACAGTGTACCACATGTAGACATGTACATGTACCTTAGTATGACTGAAACAGTGTAGTGTTAAAGGGAGACTGGGTGTGTGCCAGTATAAGGTTCTAGCCTGTACTCACAGTGTACCACATGTAGACATGTACATGTACCTTAGTATGACTGAAACAGTGTAGTGTTAAAAGAGAGACTGGACGTGTGCCAGTATAAGGCCTTGCCTGTACTCACAGTGTACCACATGTAGACATGTACATGTACCTTAGTATGACTGAAACAGTATAGTGTTAAAGGGAGACTGGGTGTGTGCCAGTATAAGGTTCTAGCCTGTACTTACAGTGTACCACATGTAGACATGTACATGTACCCTCAGTATGACTGTAACAGTGTAGTGTTAAAGGGAGTCTGGGTGTGTGTGCCAGTATAAGTTCAACGTTATCATGTCGCCAATTGGTGGTAGCAAGTACAGATGTGAGTGACTTTAGTTTTACGTCGCTTTTAGCATTAGCAAGGCGAGGGACACCGGAAATGGGCTTCACACATTGTACTCATATGGGGAATCGAACCCGGGTCTTTGCCGTGATGAGCGAACGCTTTAACCTCAAGGCTACACCACCGCCCCTGTAAGTTGTGACCAGCGTCTTGTGCATGTACTAGTCACGTGGATATGTGCGCTATATAAATATCATGTAATGAAAAAAGTGAAACTCAAGAATGAAAACGAGTTATTGCGTTATCAAGCGAGTGACGTTTTGCATGGTAAATATCATTTAATATGAATTCATATTGTATTTTATGAACCTTGGCGGTATTTACCATTGGAAAAATACACAATGTCTGCATCACTTTAATTTGTTATTGATATCATGTCGTCGAAATCCCTGTTATCGTGTATCCAAAACGGTCCCTAACCATTTCCAGTTATCCAGGGTCAATTCCATTTCTTTCCTGGCTTTTTTATCCATTTCTTTGGGGTCCATACAATATCATCCGGTGCCAAGTCATAAGTGGGCATTCATCATCCACATGTCCATACAGAATATATTATTTCCGGCATGCTATTACAGTGGATCCTGTGGGCCATTCCTTTGTCTATGTGTAATCCAGGCATGTGCAAGTCCATTTCCGTTTTCGGCTGGTTTTAGGGGATCGTGTCGGCTCCGTGGTGTGTGTGTTCGTGGGATCGTGTGCCTTCCTTTTCCATTTCCTCCACCTGTGCCCCGTCTCTCTCCATTTTCCACTTGCCTCCTTTTTGTCGTTTCCGCCTTTCCTTCCTGTGTGCCCGTTTCCTCCATGCTGTGTGCCTCCGCCCTGCGTTCGGCTCCATGCCTCACTCCTCCATGCCTGTGCCACTTTCCTTCGTTCCGTGCCTCCTCCTGTGTGCCTGTGCGTTCGTACCGCCTCCGTGTGCCTCCGTTCGTGCCTCCTTCCTCCACTCCTTATCGGCCTCTGTCGTTCCTGCTCTTCCTCTTCCACCTTCAGTCCTCCGTTTCGTGCCGCATTTCCGGGATCCTCCATTTCATGCCACTTCCTCTTCCACCTCTCCACTCCTTTGTGTGTTCCCTCCGGGTTTCGTTCATGTCTCCCTGTGTCTTTCCGTGCCGCCCGCCTCTCACTCAGTCTCCTCCTCCATGTTGTCTTGTCATCCATCCTTTCCTTCCTTGTCCTCCACTCCGTGCCTCCTTCCGTCTTCCGCACGTCTCATCCCGCTGTGTCGTCCACCCCGGATCTGTTTGTGCCTCCTCGTGCCCTCCCGTGCCACGTGCCGGTCGTGTGCCTGTGCTGGATCCTGTGCCTCCACCGTACCGGTCTGTTCCTCCGTCTCTCCGCCGTTCCTCCATGCCTCCACTGCCTCCACTCCACGTACCACTCCTTCCGGTGCCTCCGTGCCTGTGCCGTGGCCTCTCCACGTGCCATTCTCTCCTACCTGTACCTGCCTGTACCCTCCTCCACTGGCACTCCCTCTTACCTATACATCTCTGGCTCCCTCCTACGCATAAACGTCTCCCTCCTACCTGTACCCGCCTGTATCTCCTACCCGTACCTACCTCTCCCTCCAACCCGTACCTACCTCTCCCCTTGTACCTGTACCCGCCTGTACATCCTACCCGCACTAGCTGCTTCCAACCCTACCCGTACCTACCTCTCCCTCGTACCTGTACCCGCATGTACCTACCGCACTCTCCTCCCATGCTATCCCTCCCACCTGTACCTACCCGCCTGTACCTCCTACCCGTACCCCTTCACCCTCCTACCCGTACCCGCCTCTCCCCCTACCCGTACCGCCTCGCCTCCCCCTACCTGTACCCGCCTGTACCTCCCCACCGCACCCCCCATGCTCTCCCTCCTACCCGTACCCGCCTCTCCTCTCCTCCTACCCGTACCCGCCTGTACCTCCTACCCGTACCAGTCTCTCCCTCCTACCCAAACCCGCCCTTCACTTCTCACCTGTTTTCTCCCTCCTGCTTCTATCCGCCTCACCCCTCACTCTCACCTCCTAGTAAACTCAATCTAACATGAGGTTTTTACTCACAAAGAGTGCACAAATATATTTTCTTGGAATCAGTATGCCATTCTTGATAACATGTTCGTATTATTGAATGGAAGTGATTTAGGACAATAATATGTTTGTTTCAGAATGGACGCCTTCCCAAATGTTCTGTCTGTCAGCAGCAGTTTACCCTGAAGGGCCCCGCCCCTACCTACTGCCCTGTCTACACGCTGTGTGTGAGACGTGTGTGACATCTGCAGCTGGTCGTGTGATATCATGCTCTACATGTCAGAGGGAGATCAACCTCACAGACACAACCCTCCAGAAGGATGCAGTGAGACAGAAGGAAATATTCCACCTGACAGTCAAACATCGCCCCACAGAGCTTCTCTGTACACACGAAGATGACGGCAACCAGGCTGTGTGTTGGTGTCAGGACTGTGAAGAGTTACTCTGTGAATACTGCCAGAACATGCACAACAGTTTCAAAGGTACCAGACGACATGTTGTTGAAACCATTGTTGACACGGCACCGGGAAGCATGCAGGCTGAACCAGTTTGCAAACTTCACAAACGTCATCCTCTGGAATATTTTGACAAAAACTGTAACATTTTAATCTGTACGAAATGCAGGCTTGGCGACCATGCTGAGCACGATGTTGAGGATTTAGACGTAGCTTCTGATGCTGCTAAAGGGCGGATAGAACAACATGGGAAGAACGTGACTGCACATCATACGTCTCACCAAGCATATCTGAAGAGCATCAGCAAAGCCGTGAATGACACCAAAGAAGACAAGCAGTGCTGTGAAGGAGACCATCCACCACACTTTCCATTCTCTGAGGACACAACTCGATCAAAGAGAGGAGGAACTCATCATCGATCTTGACAATCAGACGAAGCAGAAACTGTCAAATCTACACACAGAGCAAGTTACCTCTGAAGGCGAGAGTGAACGATGCAAGTGGACCTCAGACTACATCAAGACAGTACTCAGATATGCTTCAAACTCGGACTTTCTGACACTGGAGAGTTCAATCCAAGAAACAGCTCAGACTCACCTCAGATCAGTTGCACCAGAGCTGCACTGTTCACCTGCAGCCGTCTTCAACATGAGAGGACTGGAGAAACTGAAACCGACATTTCTGAGTTTGGGTCTCTCGTTGGAGATGGATCAGCATCTGATGAACACACACTGACAGGTACTTACTTCTGACTCTGGCAGTATATGTTATATATTAGATTTGTTTAGTATTTCCTAGCATACTGTCAAATATTTCTGATTAGGCTTTGTCAGAAACATTGATAGCTTGTAGATGTTTCTCTTAACCATTCATTTAATTTGACTTTAAGATGGTGAGCTGATGCTCGTTCTATTCCTTTCTAACACAAACTCAGTGAAACATACAATGATCGATTGGTAACAGTTGTTGGTTATTTTACAGAGAGAGGTACACAGACAGATGACATCCATCTACCTGACCCGGAGAACACACTCAAGCATGTAAGTACTTTTTAGTAAGCATACGTATATACGTCTCGTAGTCTCTGTGGTAATAATTATTGTCACCTGCCTACATATAATATTCATATTGAACCTATGCTTGTATGTTAGAAGTGAAACAAGCCCACTTTTTGTAAATCTTGAATTGCGACATTGAAATATATTCTTTTGTTTCAAGCTGAAGCTTCCGGAGGCTGCTAACGATCCAGCACCACTACCACAGTTTGGTGAGATTTTTAGATTACTTTGGAAAAGTAACGAGGGAAAACATCGTTACCGTATGTGTCCCTTTATTTTGCATGCCATATTTTCAGAAGCACATGCTTCCAACTCCTTTATGATTTAAACAGAAATAGTTATGAATGGGCAGAAAATGGCCTCATAAAATATTTATTCAAAGTATATCTTATGTGAACAGTTTTGGTCTTTTCATATTGACATGATACTGTGATACGTGTACGCTTAGTGGGCAGATATCTGATACGTTATCAATACCCGTTTGTTATGGACAGAAGCTGAGGCTAAACAATGTTGAAAAGTGACTCTACTGATATTACAGGGACCAGATCTGTCTTGGCAGATATTTTGTTGGGTAAAAAGGTGGAGTGCCTCTTACTTTGAAAAAAGAAAGTTCCAAGCATAGAAGTTACTGATTATGGTTTAATGTGTATGAGCATTTTGTTCTTCAAGCTGGGAAATATTTTCCAGATGCGGGGACTAAAACCTACAGTCTGGAAACAGGGAGAGGGACCACGTTGACACTGCAGTGTGAGTATAACTAGTTGCTTGCTTGGCGACGTTCACACCTGGATGTAACATCATTGAGCGCCCATTGACACAAGAGGTTACTGGCTGAAGCGTTTTTTCCTGACGTGTGACCACAGGCTGCAGACCAGGTTGCTGCTGAAGCCCTATCACATTGTGGACCTTGTGCACCATTAGAGTTGTTTTAGATAGGGTTCTTGTTTTAGTGATTCCCGTCTTCTGATAAAAGGATATGGTACTGGGTGTATTAAAGTTTGCCATCGTCTGTGATATTATATGCCGTGATGGTGTCCGCCCTTTGAGCATTCATTATAGCGCTAAGTGATGTCCGCCTTTAAACACACGATATGGTACTGGGTGTATTAAGGTTTGCCATCGTCTGTGGTATTAGATGCCGTGATGGTGTCCGCCCTTTGAGCATTCATTATAGCGCTAAGTGTAGTAATGTCCGCCTTTAAACACACGATATGGTACTGGGTGTATTAAGGTTTGCCATCGTCTGTGGTATTAGATGCCGTGATGGTGTCCGCCCTTTGAGCATTCATTATAGCGCTAAGTGATGTCCGCCTTTAAACACACGATATGGTACTGGGTGTATTCAGGTTTGCCATCGTCTGTGGTATTAGATGCCGTGATGGTGTCCGCCCTTTGAGCATTCATTATAGCGCTAAGTGTAGTGATGTCCGCCTTTAAACACACGATATGGTACTAGATGTAATGGTCTTGTTTGCCCTTTAAACAAAGGACACGTTACTTGGTGTAGTACTGTTGAGCCTTGTTTATATGGGGATTCGGTGGAACTATTTAACTTCGTTTAAACACTGGACATGGTGTTACCCAACCTTTAAACAATAGGCATGCCACCGGTTCTACTTTTGGTGACCTGTGCAGTTTTATCGTGAGTGAGTTTTCGACTCTGTTTTCAGAAAATGTAACTATCGTATCTATCAACAGAATCCATATTTCTGTATATCATTACAAACCCTCGGACGTATCGTTATAGACAGTGAAACGTCAGCTGGAAGAAGCATGGGTCTAAAATTGCATGTGTTTACTTCTTGATGGGGCTTCGAACAGCTGGTAACACTAGGGCTTTGCCGAGGTGGCCAGACTGGGCGTCACGGAGGACATCTGGTGTAATATGAATGTGTCTACAACAGGCCACCGAGACGCGTCTTTTTACAAGGAGATGTGAATTCGCAGCGATTGACTTGCTCAAGAATAGTTGTACTTGTTTTATCCCGACCCAGTTGGAATTTGCCCCAAAACTATTACGAATTTAAAGGGGCGACATATGGATGTGCAATCAAAAGCCGACGCACACTAGGAGGGTCTACCTGGTTCTCACTAACTTGATCTGACTGGATCTACTGTCCCGTTGTCTAATGTCTAAACCAAGGGCCTAAAACACCACAAAATCGTTAATCATTGTTAACGTTTGGAACAAGTTCTTGGCTGATAGTGTGTTTTGTTTATTGTAAAATAACCCATTGTCGGTGTCAGTTTGTGTCATGAGTGAGATGAAAGTCTAACGTTATAACAGTAAGATCTGGGATTTTGATGCGCTGTAATGAATATTATACTTTAGGAGATATTTATATTTTGCTTAATTCTCTTTCATATAATGCGTCGTTTCAGATACGACCTAAAGCAGATATTACAATTTAGTGTTGAGAAGCTAAACTGAAAATGCTAGATCATTATTAAAGGGTGAGAGTTTATACATATATTGAATTTTGACTAAAATGAGTATGACACGGGTTAGAAGCTGGTTGACGACAGTTCAGCTATTTGCATATGAAATATACGTATTTTATGTGACAAAATGTTCACCCATTAACTAAATGTCAAATACCTGTAATAATGATCGGACAGGTTGTCAGTCCTCCTGGTGAAATTGAGTGAGTGAGTGAGTTTTACGCCGCGGTCCAGCTATATAATCGAGTCTGGACCAGACAATCCAGGGATCAACACCATGAACATCAATCTACTCAGTTGGGATACGATGACATGTGTCAACCAAGTCAGCGAGCCTGACCACCCGATCCCGCCTCTTACGACAAGCATGGGTTACTGAAGACCAATATTCTAACCCGGATGTTCACGAGTCCTGGTGAAATTGTATTTGATGCTTTCTTAGTAACATCTCAAGATATACGAAACTTATTAATTTGAAAAAAAAATCCATCTCTTTAAACTTTGGGTTTAACATAAAAAATAATTATATGTCCCAGTCAATACACATGACTCGACCGCCTCCCCACACAGCTAGTGTGTGTTGAAACTGGGCACAGTGATTGAAGCGGACGTAGAAGTTACCTGTTGACACTTGTCTGGTGAACACTCAGATGTAAAAATATCATCAAACAACTGCTTTTATGTCTTATTGTTTAGTAAACTGTATAAGAAGAGTTTAGAATACCAACAGTAATAGTTTTATCATGAAATGATGTTTATACATATGAGTTTTCATACGGAAATGTCTATTTCTGACTACTGACAGCAAACCAGCTCAACTGACAGTGTCTGACAAAATGTTTCATGGAGTGTTTATTTCATTGTCAGTCAATATAAAACTGTATGAAAAACATTTAGAATACCCATACAAATATTTTCACAGTATAATTGTGTGTATTTAAGTGACAGTGGTGATACAATTCACACACAGACGAAAATGGCGGCCGGTCATTCAGTGTGCTGTTTTGTAAACATTGAAACGAGGTTGACAATAACATGACTAATTTGTTGTCTGAAGTCGGGAAATTTGTTAAACTGTAAACAAAATGTATATTTCCAGGTCCTAAACTACAACTGGACGCTGCTCGAGCCAACACCGACGTGTGCCACGTAACTACAGACGGTCAGCTGGTGAACTCGCCGCCCGCCACACAACACAGACACAGCGGCAGGTTACGGAAATATCGGGGTACATGTGCCTCCACCCCCATCCCCCTTCCTCCATCCCCCTCTACTGTCACCCCTGTCCCACACACACCACGATACTGGGAGACACACTCTAGGGTGGGTGTGGTGAGTGGAGGGTGGTTGTGGCCTTGTCCTGGAGATGGGTGTGGTGGAGGAGAGCCAGGTAGACAGTGGGTGGTGTGTTTATCTACAGCGCCGCCCTGGTGTGTCTGTGTAGTGAGATGTGGCACACACCAGGGGAGTCTCTGTACCAGGGTGTGGCAGCAGGGGGAGGGGGGGAAGTGTTACAGTAACACAATGTCTACCACACGCGGCACACAGGCCACCCTCCACTATGGCGTTGTGCTGGATGTGGGGAGGGGGAGACTCGCCTTCATCGACCTCAACAGAGAGGTTGTTTTAGCCAAGGTGGATGTTGAGTGGAGCGAGTCTCTTCTTCCCATGTTTGGTGTTGGGCGGCCAGATGACTGCACAGTCAACATGAAGGTGATAAGTGGGGCAGATATCACCATGACTGACACCAAGAAGTCACTTATCTATGACGCCTTGAATTAGACAATGAAATAAACATGACATTGTGTAAACTTGTAAGTGTGACTTATTTATTTTAAACTGTCAAATGTAATTGTAGTGATTGAGGCGGACGTATAAGTTGTCTGTCTATGTGCTGTTTGTTGTGGACAAGAATGTAACGAAGTCAGTTAAATGTGTTGTTTTACTGCTTGACTGGATTCTCTTGTGTATAAGAAAGATTTTACATCCACACATGACTATTGTTATGATTATTATTCTGCAGTAGTTGACCAGTTTATCACACATTTCATACATGTCTGTGAAATATCACAACAAATAACTGAGTCACAAATTCATCAAAAGTTGTTTCAAATCATGAATTTATCGCCATGTTTCGTTTCTTCTCTGTAATACAAATGTTTTAAATCCCCACATGAATATTGTTGAGATGAAATTATTGTAGTTGTGAATCCACATACGCCACAGTTGATGTCAGTGAAGAAATATGATGAAAGTGATTGAAGCGGACATAGAATGTCCCCGTTTACATGTTGTGACGTATATTCAGAAATACAATCAAGTTCGCAGAATCTTTTATTTTCCTAATTAGTTGGATTCTATTGTCACTAAAATATATTTCAAATCCACACATGACTAGTTTATAGATTAGCTGAAGCAGAAATGTCAGACTTAGAGGGGCACTGTCTTCTTTCCAGTTGTCAAACACTGTCCGCTAAAGTTCATCAGCTGACATGGGTCGATTTGCCAGATAAAGTAACTGAGTGTGACGTGAGACTGGGCTGCCGTCTGTAAGGACAGCGGAAATATACTTTGACATATTATCTGTACACATTTCTGAACACTGAAAGAGGCCAAATGTAATTATATATGTTATATTTAGGATTACATTTTCTCAATTTCTAGTAAAATTGTGGGGTTGAGTCCCAAACTGGATTCTAATCCCCATTCTCAGAGTGAGGCACGTAATCCCTAGCACGTGTAACATACGAAGATTACAAAGGTTGTGTGTTAATTTACCCAGTACAATGTTCTCAACTTGGGGTAAAGTGAATTTATCAATAATCTACTTCTGAACCTAACAAAATTATATTTAAATTCAGCCCGTGCACAACCACAGATGAAGACACAAATGAAATTGGAAACAATGTTAAAATAGCATCGGGAACTGGTCGTTATAAACGTGCTTGCTATAAACATTTTAGAATACGTAGTACATGCAGGAAAGATGCACACAACTATCAAGCGTTACCTTGGTGATGCCGTTGTGTCACTATGGAAACCAATTTGTGGCGCATCACTTGTAAAAGTTACACCTACAGGTTTCCGTGCGTTTGTTCGACTTTCGCTCTGTACAATGTACATAGATGCTTAAGGACAATCGTTGTGTGTTTTGTTAGTGAGTGAGCTTGTTTGAACGCCCTCTTACCCGTAAAGATCCGGGTTAGAATTGATCTTCAGTAACCCATGCTTGTCGTAAGAGGCGACTAACGGGATTGGGTGGTCAGGCTCGCTGACTTGGTTGACACATGTCATCGTATCCCAATTGCGTAGATTGATTCTCATGCTGTTGATCACTGGATTGTCTGGTCCAGACTCGATTATTTACAGACCGCCACCATATAGCTGGAATATTGCTGAGTGCGGCGTAAAACTAAACTCACTCATTTACTTAAACGCCCAGCTGAACCACATTCCTGTCATATTACGACGTGTAAACTTATTAAGTGTAGAAAGTCATATGGTGATGCTGGCCTCAGACATTTACCTCTTGGACAACCGATCACGTTATGGTGCTGACTGACACATCTAGAAACCAAATTGCTAATTGTGATCAAACCTGCGGTCATTGGCTACTGACGTGCCCAGGGAACGCAACTCTGCACAGTGAAGTTTGAGTAAGAGGGATAGGGTCATGCTCCTAATCCTCCTTAGGGGGCTTTGCCGCTGTAACGTTTTTCTTCGAAATTGATTTGCTTGTATTTGTAAAACCCCAGTTTCATCCCTTCATTTATATGTCGATATATATAGAAAGCTGTAGGTTATATCCCCAGTGATATTCCCTGTGTCATGGGAAACTGGGACCCACTATTTAAAAGGCACGTCAAGCCATAAGGCTGATGAAATACAATAAGACAATAACGTATTTGCCATTCTAAGTTCCATTAGTTCCTGCATCGACCTGAACACATTTTGTACAGTCGGTACAACATGCACATTTCCATTTAAGGCTTTTTAATTTGTTTTCTCTCTTCAGGTTGCTGCAACTGCAACTTCCATAATTCTTTCAATGGTTCTCCCATTTCCATAGAAACACAAAAATATACTCAAAATAAAGGTGAGGGTTCATAATATACAACTAGATCCACATCTTGTACAGGTTTCTTGTATTCTAGAAACAGGAATTTCACCAAAGATGCAAAGACTTTGTACATGATATACAACTAGATCCACATCTTGTACAGGTTTCTTGTATTCTAGAAACAGGAATTTCACCAAGATCAAAGATGTTAGTTTGTACATGATATACAATTTGATTAGTATCTGCTTCATGCATCAAGAATGTTCGATAGTACATCTCCACAACATTCTATCACTCCCAGCACTAGCGGTTGAAGGTGTCACCAATATACCTAACAACACATTTTGTATAGCAGCAAGTCTCTGAATCTTGCAGTGTAGTTTTAACTGTCTTTATCCAGACTGCTGCATGTTGCACTGTGATCTCCATCTGGTTTATCCCGTGCAGAGATCTAGTCTTCATCACTGTCTTCATCACCTTGACCTGAATAGCGTGGGCTGGTTGGGGAGTACTTGGGTGTGGTTGGGGTGTATGTGGGGGAGGTTGGGGAGTACTTGGGTGTGGTTGGGGTGTATGTGGGTGAGGTTGGGGAGTACTTGGGTGTGGTTGGGGTGTATGTGGGTGAGGTTGGGGAGTACTTGGGTGTGGTTGGGGTGTATGTGGGTGAGGTTGGGGAGTACTTTGGTGTGGTTGGGGGTGTATGTGGGTGAGGGCTGGGGAGTACTTGGGTGTCGTTGGGGTGTATGTGGGGGAGGTTAGACTACCGAGGGGCTTGTTAGGGGTATGTATGTGGGTGAGGGTTGGGAGTACTTGGGTGTGGTTGGGGTGTATGTGGGTGAGGTTGGGGAATTACTTGGGGAGTACTTAGGTGTGGTTTGGGTGTATGTGGGTGAGGTTGGGGAGTACTTGGGTGTGGTTGGGGGGTGTATGTGGGGCAGGTTGGGGAGTACTTGGGTGTGGTTGGGGTGTATGTGGGTGAGGTTAGGGGAGTACTTAGGTGTGGTCAGGGTGTATGTGGGGCAGGTTGGGGGGAGTACTTGGGTGTGGTTGGGGTGTATGTGGGTGAGGGTTGGGAGTACTTGGGTGTGGTTGGGGTGTATGGGGAGAGGTTGGGGAGTACTTGGGTGTGGTTGGGGTGTATGTGGGGAGGTTGGGAGACTACCGAGGGCTTGTTAGGGTGTATGTGGGTGAGGTTGGGGAGTACTTGGGTGTGGTTAGGGTGCATGTGGGTGAGGTTGGGGAGTACTTGGGTGTGGTTTGGGGTGTATGTGGGGAGGTTGGGGAGTACTTGGGTGTGGTTGGGGTGTATGTAGGAGAGGTTGGGGAGTATCGAGGGCTGGTAAAAAGTATGTGGGAGAGGAGGGGAGTACTGAGGGGAGCTGAGACTGTGTTGGGGAGGGGGGGGCTGTTCTCGGGGACTGGGGGCTCTATTGTGGGGAAGTGGGGGGTGTAGTTGGGGACGAGGTGAAGTACATGGGGCTGCTTTGGGAGTAGGAGGAGGGGCTGGTTGGGCTGTATTTAGTGGATGTTGGGGTGTTCTGTGGAGAGCTGGGGAGTAGGGTGGGTTGCTTAGGCTGTATTTGGGTGAACTGGGGGATAGTTTGGACCACTTGGGGGCTGTAAGAAGTGCTAGTCGGAGAGTAGTTGGAGAAGCTGGACTGTATTTAAGAGAGGTTGCTGAATATCCAGCACTAGAGGGCGAGTATGGCATACATGGTGGCGAGTACCCAGGACTCTGAGGAGTCATGGCAGGCGAGCTTGGCATGTAGGATGGTGACGCTGGTGAATATGGCGCCACGGGGACTGGGAATGTAGGGACTGGCTGGTGAGTCCGGTGAGCCTGGCTGAGGTGTCCAAGCAGGGCTGTAGCCGGGGCTGAAGCCGCTCTCACCAGCAGCTGACGGAGAGAAGCCCGCTTGTCCAGGAGTAATGGCGCTGCCGATACCAGCGGACCAGGCACTGGCGTAGGCGGGTGTGGCTCCCTGGTTCCAGGGTGTCATCTGTGGCGACATGTCACTCCCACAGAGCTGCCCACACTGCCGAAGAACATACCCAGTTCCTGCACCTGCAAGACAGATAACAAACTGACACGTCTGTCAGAAACAGATGGATGAAAATATAAACAGATGTAACAATTGTTTGTGGTGTGTGCCATGCAAAGTGATGCTTACTTTGAACAGTCTGGTGTTTATATGTTGTTAAACACCACACCACACAATATTACAGCTATATACTGGCAGCCGTTAAGTAAGACTCAAGAGCAGGCAATGCAGTGGTTGATATTGTGAACATCGTCAGGATATGAGGTTAACCAAGACCCTGAGACTAACTACCCAATCCTTTAGTTCGCCTCGTCATTAGTTCCTTACCTAGCATCATTCCTGATTTATCAGCTGTAGGGATTTCCCTGCCATATTCACATTTCTCTGCATCCAGGAGCAGGTCGAGGCAGCCTGTGCCGATCTTGGCCAGCTTGTCCCAGCATAATGTTCTCAGATACACCTTTCATCGGGTCGTGCTCGCCGTGGGCTGCTGCCTCCATCAAGATGTCCACCTGAGAACAAAAAGTCATCATGAGTGAGTGAGTGAGTTAATATTTAACGTCACATCGGCAATATTTCAGCCATATCGTGACGAAAACATTTGATATTGAAATGAAATATATGTATATCATAAAAACCTGCCGACGAAGGACAGTAAAACAACTAGAATATCACAGATATACATTGATCTCTCATGACCATCTTAGGTTTAACATAATATACATTAACAGTAAAACATCTTTCCACCATCAAATTAGTTTCAATGTAGAAGGAAGAAAGTCAGTCTAAATGCAAACTAATTACAATAAAATCTTATTCGATTCAAATATTTTTCATATATAATGTCACAAGTAGAATGTTCTAACTTGTCATCAGTCATCTCGCCAT